TCATTCTTTAATTCAAATCTTACATGAAATCAAAAGAATATTAGTTACTTTCCGAAATCAAAATACTAAATTAGAATGAAATCGGAAAAGAAAGATGAGCTGCAAATGATGTGATCGGTCGAGGCAAAGATGAATTTGTCCCGCATCGGTGCTAATGGTTTTTCGGCAATCATCTCCCAAGATACAACGACCACATCAAGCCATAGAGCATTCCAAATGACTTAGACCAACGAACTCGAATGTAGTTCCCTCTCTACCATAACCATGATCTTGATGTAAGAAATAATCAATTCTACAAAGTGTTTTATGCAAAACTAAACTGTAAACATGGAATGGAATGATATGAAACTATCAATTGAATTGTTTGTTGTTTTTCATAAAATCCAAATACATGGGGATCTATATATATAGTAGTTGGAAACCACACAAAGGTCACATCTCTTGAAATTAAGAATCATAATTATTGGAAGTTACTCACACCAAAAGTCATAATCTCCAAAAGTCATGATNTTAAATTGGTAACAACCAATTTCGAATTTTCCAACAAAAAACACTATTGAAGAGCATGGAAGTGAGCGAGAACAAGGGATTTCATTCAAAATTCAAGATTTCAACCATAATTCCTAGTTTTTGGGTGGTGTTTTCTCTTTATTATTTTTATTATTCTTTTATTTTATCCATGTTAGGCTAGACTTTTCATGTATTAGGTGAACGATGAACCTCACATTGTGATCTTTTAATTTCTATTTTACAATTTGATATTCAAACACGTTTGATGGATGTTGAATGATTTATATACACTTTCCTGCCTCCATGATTATAGTGCACGATAATTTTGTGAGTTTGGGTGGTTTATTTTATACATTCGAAAGAAGGAAAATAAACTCAACAAGGTATAAATCATCGTTTTGTTCATAAAGGATAGAAATATACCGATATGCATTATGTGAATCTCTAAGTGTTTACAAAACTTCATGCATTCTTGTATATTGCATTTGCTATAGAAATATAGTCAAATGGTATGCTAAAATAGGTTCAATTCTACTCGAAAGAGATTATTGGATATGTTAGAAACATTGATTCTTCAACCAATTCCTCGTGTTGTCAAATTGTGAAATAGGAGTTAAGGGTGAACTTTGTTTGGGGATTCGGGATCCTAGTACGCTTTTCATACATTAATTTCATCAACTTTTGCGTTCAACCATTATCTTGCATTTAGATCGCAATTTTAGTTTAATTCGCATATTAGTCATAATTTCATCATAAAATCACAAAAACAATCATCTTGAGTTTAATAGATTCGGTTAAGGTCGATATAATAAAAATCACTTTAAATCAATTCTCGTGGGAACGATACTCGAAATTCTTGAATTTTCACTTTATTACTTGTGAACGATCTATACACTTGCGGGATTTAAATTCGAAACATATTTTCGTGAACAATTGATATTAGTTGATTCGAAAATCAAAAGTACTTTTCACCGTGGGAAAAAAAGAAACACAACAACAAAAAGACCAAAAATAGCAATAAGAAATTGTCAATGAACTAAACAATTTGATAATTCAAGTGAATGAAGCGGTAGTTGCCGATGAAGGGGATATGCTAGTCGAGAATTTAATGACTCTACAAATAATTAAGAGTCAATCTAGCAACGTATATCCTCCATTTGGACAACAAAACTTTCGATTGAAAACTTCCATTTATTTTCAGAATGGACATCAGCAATAATTTTATTTTTCTTCGATTTAGAAGTCTCTATTTTTCCGTTTCCTCTTTTTTCCCTTCATTTTCTTTGATTTCTTCCCTCACATAAGTCGATTTGAGGGGCTTAGTAAATGAATTTAAAAAAATGTATCTCAATGGTCATTGACTATGTCAAAAGCTACTACTTAATGACCGAACTTAAAAAAGTATTCCAGTGTTCACTTAACTATGTCAAATGCTACTTAATATTAACTAAATTTAAAAATATATTTCAATGGTCGCTGAACTATTGATTTAGTCCTAACCAAGCAAGCCTTTTTTTAGATTTATAGTCGGCAGATCCAGATTGAAAGCAAGTAGCAACAAAGTTTTTTCACTCTTGTCACAAATAAGATCTTGTTTTTGCATTGAAACATATATAGTTGATTAATCTGGTTAACATTAAACTTGGTAAAATGAAATCATTGAATAATTAAAAATTAGATTATTCAAGAATACACATTGAATGCTAAAATCTAGTCGTGGAAATGTAAGTACATTGCAAATGTATGAAATACTGCTAGTAATGAAATTCACTAAATATATCTTGTCAAACCTAATGTGTATACCAATGAAATTGATTAAATATGTCACTTCAAGTGATTAAATTTTTGCAATATATTCTTGTGAAAATTAGAATGTTTCGTACTATCAAAAGTTGGGCTCGCCGCAGGGCGGTACTCCGGCATTAGCCTCCCCGACTTGAATCGCACACCACAAGCATTACAAAGTGTCTTTGGTCCCAATGGACCCATCCTCCACTGCGGTGTCTTCTCAGCTTGGCAATGAGTGCACCTCAGTTTCATATCTTTCGATGAATTCCGTGAATGACTCTGAGGTCTGTTGCTCCTACCTTCAATTGCCTGTTTCTCGTCGGTCTGTTCTAAAAAATCGTACAAAACCTCTTTCCCTTTCCCTTTCCCTTTCCCTTTATCTTCAGATTCTTGCTTCTTAAAGCCATAAAAATGGAGTTCTTCTGGATTATGGATTCCTCCGAAGCCCTGAAAATCATTTAAAAACAAGGGCATGTTCATGTTTTCACGAGCATCCAATGAAAGGGTATTGGTGTGTTTCTTGGATGAAAATCGACCTGAAGAGTAGGATTTATGTTCTGGTGATTGAAATAATCCATTTAATGAAATTAAATCGTCGTTTAAGGATGGAAAAAAATCCAGGTCTTCAAGTCTATCTTGTGGTATGCATAATGGATTCTTTGATTCAGTAGGAATTCCGTCTTGGTCCAAGCCCAAGTCTTCCCATGTTAAGTCTGAGAGAGATGAAAACTCTCGTGGATTTTCTGCAGGCATAGGTGGAGAGAAGTCTGGAGGTGTTTACATATATACAACAGGGGCATTTGTGTATATATAAGCCCCCTGTGGGAGTTGAAAAGTTCTTTAATTGGTTAGGAGAGATGTACATGACAAAACAGAAACCTAGAACTCTTCGGAAACGTCAAGGTTAATTTCTTGAACCAATGAGAATCCTACACGTAAGAGAATGTCGTGTTTGTGCCAATAATATAGTAAAAAGTTGTGAATTTATTGGATGTGGACGAGTTTAGGAAATTAATGCAATTAATTAAGTAGAAGACTTGTACGTTTGTTAGAATGCATGCGACTGTACGTCTACCCGCCCTAGAAAAAAATAAAAAATTAACTTTTGCAATATTTAAAATTATTCACTGAGATCGATTCTTATCTTTTTAAACTTCAATCGGGAGAGAGTCGGGATGACGAGAATAGTTCTTGATTCAATGATAGTATCTATTAGACGGGATAAACAACATATAGTGATGGTTAAATCATTGATTCAAAACAATATTATTCAAAATAGGATTAAAAGGAAGAATTGAAACATTTCGAACTTATCCATGAATATAGTAGAATTTAACACCAGATACGTTGATAATTTCGACTAAATAATATTTTTGGCTAATCTCGACTTGAGAATAACGTGCTAAATTGATAATTCGCTAAATCATTATTTAAAAAAATCATATAAATCTCATGTAATATATAAATTAATAATTTTTTAACACGTATTTCTTATTATTTGACTAGGAGGCCTTCCTAAAATAGAGTTTTTAGTGGTTGATGTTCATAAAAAGGAATAGCATGATACATTGAACCATTTACAATTTATATTTTGAAAAAAAAAAAAAAAAGTAGATTCATGAATTTTACTTAATTTAAAAAATACATAGAATTATTAGTTCGTAAAAACGAGAAATAAAATACAATGTATATCATTTAAGAATATAGGGTAAACTTCAATAAATTAATAAATTTATCGATCATTTTAGTATTCGTTATATAAAGATTTTCCTTAATCTCAACCGCATGGGATAATTCAAATAGAAGTCTATCGATATAGTGCTCCATTGTACAATATTTTGTAACAATAAATAGACTTCCACAATTTAAATAACACGAGTAATCAATAAATGATATTCATAAGAACATAACATGATATAATGAAACTAAATCGTTCTTTAAAAATAAAATCTTTTTTTTTTTTGAAATTTTTTTAAGGTAAACTGGACGAGTTAGGGTCCGTTTGATTATAAGGGTGGAAAATGAGTGGAAAAAAAATGTTTTAAAGGGAATTGATTTTCCTAAAAAATGTTTTGTTGGAAATTATAATTAATTGTGTTTGATTTGTATAATTTTTCATAGAAAATGTTGAAAGCTTGGTATCCATTTGGCTTCATTTTTTATGGAATTTGTTCATTAAAGTGATATTTTTTCTACCATTTGGTCAAAAATTTGTTCCAATAGTAAAAAAAAATTTACTATATCATTCTTTTGACTTTGTTTTGTATGTAAGTTGTCAATAAAAGTAAAATATTTTTTTATCATTGTATCTAAAATTTGTTCCCATCACACAAAAAAAAAAAAAAAAAAAAAAAAAGTAAAAGTGGAAAATGTTTTCCCACAAAATAGGTGGGAAAACAAAATCAAGCTTTTGCATCAAATTATTGTACCCTGAAAAAGATGGAAAACATTTTGTTAGGAAAATTTGTGCTATCAAACATCTAGGCTATCAAACGGACCCTTAATCTATTAGTTTCAATAAATGCAGTTGTTTTAGGGATTAACTTTACATTGTCGCACACGTTGATTAGGAATCGAATTGTATGGTCATGTATAAAATTGGATTTGATTTGTTTCCTAGGTAGAAGATGATTTGTGTAGTCCTGTGTAGTACAAGAATTGGTTATTGTTTCCTACTAGGAATTTGATTAGTTCCCCTTCTAGTTGTGTACCAGTATTAATACTTTGAATCTTGCTTGGTGTACATATTTTTTTATACATAAGGGTGTCATTTCCCTCACATTAGGTGGATTGTGGATCACTGGATCCCACCCCCATGTGAGGGAAAGGACGCTATTGTGTACAAAAATTATGTACACCATTGTGGGTAGCTTTATGTGAGGGAAATGACACCCTTATATACATTTATTTATGTACACCAAACATAATTCTAATACTTTTTGGTAGTGCTGGAGGGTTTTGGGTATGTGAGAGACATTGAGCATGTTTTAAAAAAAAAAAAAAATTGAAACTGCTACCTTATAAGTTGGGGATCTACAAACAGTGTAGATCAAAATCTATGAGACTAACTTATAAGTGTCCAATTAATATGGCTTATGAGTTGGACTTATGAATTTCTGTCCAGACAATTTGTGGATCCCAAACTTTTAAGACGTCTACTTTTTTTTTCCCAAACATGCATGCTTATTGAGTAATTGTACAATTCTTTTTTTTTTTCCCTCATAGGAAAGCACCATATTTTTAAAGCTATTCAGCCCTATAGACCTACTTGTCAACTTTATCGAGCTTTTCTTTGGCATGATGGAAAGGGTTCCATACCATAGAGTTCTTTGTATGGAGATAAAAGACTTTTCTCTTCTTTGTTTTTTGGTTCCTCATCGTTGACATTAGGCTGGTTCATAGCTGTAGGGTTAGGATTTTTACCAGAAAACGAGAAGAATGAGACGTCTGAAACAAAGAACAATTGGCAAGTCGTTGTCAGTGAGAGTTAGGGCTTGGTCAGTACATTCACGGCATGTCTTCATCAGTACAACCAGTGTGTATTACAAAATGCTATGATCGGCCGTTGCACTGTTAACGTAATTGAACTATAGGGTTCATGACGAAGAGGTATTGGTAGATTTGAGGAAAATATCAAAATGGTGATTTTGATTCTAAGAAGGAAGAAACGTGTTTTTTAAAATAAAAAAAAAAGAAGGAAAAATCGTGTTTCTCATTACACTTGACACAACGTTTTATGGTGACTAGATAACCACGATGATTTGGCGTGATTTATCGAAATATTCAACTCAATAATGTACTGTGTATTGTTAGAAAAAAAATCTAACATATGGGGCCACACATGTAATATATTAAAATGTGTGGTACTATTATTTAAAGATTGATTAATTAAAGTGATCCGTTAAAGTTAATTTTGACTAACGGGTATTATATTTCATGGAAATATAATGTAGAGACCGGAATATTGTTTTAAATTGATGAGATGCCAATTTGATACAATTGAAAAATAATAACTGCATATGCAGTTATTATTATTATTATTTTATTGGGTCATGGTCCCCAAGTTGATAGTGGCTTTTCATTCTCTGCATCCCCATCAACAGAGAGAAATTCAAGCAAACAATCAGACATACATGAATCAAGGTATGTTTATGCTTTATTCTTTTATCTGATTTCAACATGGAGTATGTATTAAGTTTTATATGTGAAAAGAGTTTGATTAAAGCATATGAATTGATAATCATTTTCTTGTTTTATAACAAGTGGTATCAGAGACACTCTATGGTTGAATTCTTGATACATTGAAGTTTTTAAAATTCTGAATTTTTTGAATTTTGGGTTATTGGATCTTCAAGCATGTTATTATGGAATAAAGCATTTTATAATGTGGATTTTGATATTATTAAGGTTTTTCTTCCGAAAATTCGGATTTTTAAAATCAAGCATTTTCAGATCTGGTAATTAAAAAAAAAATTGAAATTCCGATCTTGGCAGCCGCTGCAACAGCAGCTTGCAAAGCTGCAAGCTGCTGGGTGGGCACAGCGGCCCTTGCCACTTGAGGCCCTAGCGTTGCTGGCCGGCGCCGCCAAGGAAGAAGAATGAGCCTTTTTCCTATTAGGGTTTCCGTTTTGAAATTTTTAGGGGCGTGGGCTTGGACTGCAAATTTAAAGTTTTGGGGCCCTTGCTTGCAATTTAATATTAGGGTTAGGTTGAGTTATTTATATTTCAGCCCCTAAAGTTTAAAATTTATTTAAGTTGGGCCTTAAGGTTATGAGTTTTAATAATTCAGCCCCTGAAGTTCTAAAATTAATTAATTTGGGCCATTTAAGTTCTAAATTTTATAATTAAGCCCCTAAATGTTCATAATTGATTTAAATTGATCTCTAAAGTTTTGAATAATTGAATTTTGACTCCTAAACTCTCCATCAATTAATTATTGACCCTTAAAGTTTTGATTTAATTAATTTTGACCCCCTAAAGTATTGAATTATTAACCCTTAGCCCCTTAAAGTTTCAAGATAAATAAAATTTAGTGTTCTGCTTTTCAAATTTTGGTATAAATAACTCATTTGAGAATATAATATTCAAAAGTGAATTGATTGAAGCAATATGTTGTCCAAGGAACCTCTCTTGTGGAAATTAACTTAGAATATTATAAGAATTTCGTGTGTATGCTAGTTCATGCGAATATTAGTCGATCCAAAGGAAGGTTAATATTTGGTCGAATTGCATGCACACTTGTGGTGGTAAACGTGTGACAATTATAAGGTTTCCATGTGAATAATAAATCAATCCAAAGATGGGTTTGTTATTTGACAGGAGTTATTGTCAATGTTTGATCACTACAACAAGAGTACCACTTA